CCTCCATTCTCCTCTTGGGATTTTGGGCATGCATGCACATGCGCCCAAAATCGTGAGGTTTTTTTTTTGGGGGGGGGGCAGAATGGAAGAGAGGTTTTGGCTATAGGGTACATGCGCTCTCCAGAAAGACAGAGAGAGACAGACAGAAAGCGAGAAATAACTCCCCAGGGATTGTGGACATGCCATAATCCCTTCTCCATTCTCTCAGGATCTTTAGCACACATGCACACTTGCCCAGTGTGAGTTTAAGCCACTGGGTCCGGGACTTGAACCATGGTAGGCTACATGGCAGTCCAGCTACATAACCATTATGCCAACTGGTGGTCCCTTGACTTACTCCCTTTTTTGTTTTATTTCTGTGCAATTCTCTCAGACTAAAATAGAACTTTAGTTTAAAAGTCTCTTTTAGCAAATAAATAACAAATGGTATATGATTATTGCTGTTAAGAATAAATTATCACCAGTTCTACTTAATTGTGGCTTCTTCAAAACCTTGAAACAATATGTGACAGGAATAAACAGTAATTCTTCTAATTAAGAAGAATGTAACTGAATATGTGGCTATTTTCAGCATTATATTTAGATCCTTGTTTTATTTTTTATGTGTTAATATTTAATTTTTTGTATATTGCTTTTAAAATTATTAGCATCTAATATGATTTCTACAGTGAAATGATAAAATTCTGTTTCCCCAGGGCACCAGTAGGAGATGTAAATCCCGGTTCTGGACAGAAAGCCAGACCTTGTGAGAGTAGTGGTTATAAAGCAGATTCTTTGCCGACACAGTCTTCTCAGAGCACCTCTGTAAAGGAAACAGTGAAAAAACTGACATCTAATTTAAGGTAAAAGTATTTGCTAACATATTTCCATGTGCTTCATTGAACTTCTTAAGCCATGGTAACTGCTGATTTTTTTCTTTACTGAGTGGTAACGTAACTGCAAAAATTCAATAAAATAACTTTGTGACTTGTCTCCTAACCATGCTGATTTATACATACCAGGGTTTAGATGTTGCCTGAAATATTGGGTCATTGGAAAATCATCCGTATTTTTCTATTTTTCTATGCAAAAATGTGTCATGCATTTTCTGACCACTCAGTTGCACTGTGTCACTACCTGTTGTTATATGGCCAGCAGTATGGTAGAGGATAGTCTTCTCTTCAACGTAATAAAGAATTCTTACTGTGTTTTCCTTATTGCTTTCTTTTTTCTTCACAGAGGTTCTTATAACATTGGTATGTCTTCTAAAAAGTTTGTATTTGTAGTTTTAAGATGCTGAATTTAAGGAGAAGGGAGTTTTACTTATTTGTTCAGTGTTGAATGTTAACATTCATAGGCATAGTTATTTGAGGAATGTGGATATCTGGATCTCAGATCTGAAAGGACAGAGATGCCTGGGCATGGTGGAGGGGGTAAATTCCAGATACAGAGTTTGTCCAAATAGAGACTGGTGATAGGTGGGAGTTTTATGATCAATTCCAAGAAATCTGTATTTAGAAGAGTGTTGTAAAGTAAGTATCATGTGGGAGGACAGGGGGTGGGAGTAATGGCACCGCTAAGTTAGCATTTTGTTGTTGGGGTTCATAGAGTTTGGTTGGGTTCACAGTTTTGTTGAGGTTTTTAGACTTTGGTTGGGTCTTGAGGAGCTATGTAAGATAAGAAGCTCTGGGCCAAAGAGGACACACAACATGCCCTAGCTAGAATAGTATTTTCTCTTAGGATGGCTACCTTGAGTATTATACACACACTCACTGTAAATATGTGTGTATATATACATATATATTACACACACACATATATATATTATGTGTATATGAGCATATAAAATATGTCTTATGTATTAGGTATATATGTATATTTCCCTACTTGCCATACTGTAAGAGACCTGAGTATGTTGCAGCAGGGTTTGGATGCATAGCTACTTAACTTTCTTTTCTAGTTAAATACAGTTCCTTTTCAAATTTATCATTTTCCTTATTTTTTACTTGGCTAATTTCTGTTCATCTAACTGTAACATCTCTATTCATTTTAATGAGCTACATGTGATTTTTAGAAAGGGTAATCTGATCGAGTACAATAAGACCTTAAAGTACATCCACTTCTATCATTAGGCGTCAAAAGAAAATAGAAAATTCCCAGAAACCATCTCCCTAATGAACTCGTAGACTCTTTAGTGCTTAGAATTGTCATACTGTTATCAGCTGAGGACTCTGAAACCTGGATGTCTTAATATTCTGTACCAGCTTAAATTTTCTGTGTTTACACAAAATGAGCTTCTCATTTCCCTAGTTTTCTCTTTTGCTTTTTCACCCAGTGAAAACAGATTTGTTATTTTACTTGTTAGTTTCTTCTCCCCTTTTTGGTACTGCACTGTTTTGTAAGTGGTCCACATGAGGTTCCTTGTATTAGCGACTTTAAATTCCTGCAAGCATGAAGACTGGCTGGCTGTGTATGGTGTTGAGGGGATGTGCTCTCTGTACCCAGAACTGGTCACCATGTGCTTGTCCTCTGATAAAGAGAGAAGTCGGAAATCTTTCAAGTATATAGAGCATTTTCTCAAATTGGCTCTCTTTGGACTGCATCATCCTTATCCTTTCCCAGAGTGCCACAGTAGGGTCAATTCACCTGTATTAAATTAATGCTAACTGAATAATTTAATTAAAAATAGTTTTTACTGTCCATTTTCATTACATGATTATGCTTAATTTAGCATTTCCCATTTTATTTTTTTTAAAATTTGTTTTATGTATTTATTTAATTCCCAAATAGAGTAACTTCTTTAAATACAGATTGTGGGGGCCAACTGGTGACATGGTGGATAAGGTGGCTGGATCTACATGGCAGACCTTGCTGTTTGGGTCTGCACCCTGTGACTTGAAAGACACGCTGGGCATATCTGCAACCAGGCCAAAATGTAGGAGAAGGGATTGCAGCATGACCATTCCCCCAGGGGTGATTTCTCACTTTCCCCCTCTTTCTCTCTCTGTTTCTCTTTCTCTTTCTCTCTTTCTCTTCTCTTCTCTTCTCTTCTCTTCTCTTCTCTTCTCTTCTCTTCTCTTCTCTTTCTCTTCTCTTTCTCTTTCTCTTTCTTTCTCTCTCTCCCTCTCCTTCTCCTTCCCCACTTCTTTCTTTCTTTCTTTCTTTCTTTCTTTCTTTCTTTCTTTCTTTCTTTCTTTCTTTCTTTCTTTCTTTCTCTCTCTCTCTCTCTCTCTCTTTCTTTCTTTCTTTCTTTCTTTCTTTCTTTCTTTCTTTCTTTCTTTCTCTTTTTCTCTCTTTCTCCAGTGAAAAAAGAGAAAGAGATGCCCTATCAGAAAACGTGTGCCTTCCACACCATGTTCAACATGTATTAGTATATATTTAAAAAATACTTCTAGTTAAAAAGTTATAAAGATTGCTGTAAAAGACAATGAATGGTATTTAGGTGACTAGGTTGTGTGAAGTTAGAGGTAAATAAGCTGATCCGGAATTCAGACTATTACATTTAATCCAATAGCCTTAAATATTGGAGAAATATGAAATTTCATATCACTTTCAATAATAATGATGGTACATATTTATTGTGCACTTACTTTATGCCAAGTTCTCTCCAAAGAGCTTAGAGTAATCCTATAGATAGACACCCGTGTTGTCTCTATTTTGATGAAAAAACTGAGGTGTATAGAGCTTAAGTTACTTGTCTAGCATTATGTAATTCTTTTTTTGTCATATTTTATTTATTTTTCTTTATTATTATTATTCTTTTTTTATATGTTCAATCACTGTATATCATTACAGCATTTCCCAGCATGAATACGCTGTGTCCAGTTGAAGATAATATCATACACATTATCAACAAATAATTTTCCATTTTTGTGTCCCTTAAACATTTTGCTTCATTCTTTTTCTCCTTGATTCCCTTCCTTTCACCCTCCCCCATTTCCACCCTCCTCTCACACTATCTCCAGTATTCACAATTGTTCTCCATGCTTTTATAACTTCCAGTCTTTCAGTTTCTGACATAGAGGGCAGGCATTCAGTATATATTGAGTGGAGACATACAGTGCCTCTCTTTCATAGCCTGGCTTGCTCACCCAGGCAGTAATACCAAAAATAGACAAGTGGGACTGCATAATGTAACTCTTAAGTAGCAGAGCTGGATTTGAACCCTGGCAACCTTGCCTCCCAGTCCTTGCTCTTTTTTTTTTTAAGATTTTAAAATTATTATTTATTTAATTTTATTGATTCATTCATTTATTTTAATTTTACCAGAGAGAGATACAGAGAGAGAGAGACAGAGAGAGAGATAGAGAGAGAGAGAGAGAGAGAGAAAGTGAGAAAGGAAGTCACCAGCTCCAGCACTTGAACCGTGGTCAGCCATGTGGGAGTGTCCAGCGCCTTATCCACCATGTCACCTGCTGGTCCCCCAGTCCTTGCTCTTAATGGCTAAACTATAATGTCTCATTTTAGTTTATTACTGTATATGTAAATATCATAATGCAGACTCTGTTTATTTCAACTCTACAGTAGCACAGACATGTTATCTTAGAATTTAAAATTACCAAAAATAAGTTTAAAAAAGAAAGTCACTTAAAAAAAAAGTGTATTTCTTGACACCACGATCCCACCCCAGCTTCAGCCGGCCTGGGTCATGAACACACGTGTGCCAGCATGCTCAAGGTCTCCCAGACTTGAACTGGCAATCTTCCCATGTGGATCAGCCTCAGACAGTGCTGTGCTTTACAGGCCTATCACCATCCAGCCCCAATATTCGCTCTAAATTTAAACACCAAAGAATTTATATTCACCATAGGAAGGATCAGTGCTTGGAGGAATTTTCAGGCCTGTGGTGGGCAATGGGAATCTGTATCTGGGGAACAGCAGGGGAGATTTGTGTAAGAAAATCTCTAGCTCCTCATGCCCCAACAAACCAGCTATAATGTTAACCACGGTCCCTTTCCCAGACACTGCAGTCATAGCCTTTCTTCCTATGCCATGTGATTTCTCCTCATCTGATATATAAGGAGGTCTCATTCTTAGACACCCTTTTTCTTCTTCTTCTTCTTCTTCTTCTTCTTCTTCTTCTTCTTCTTCTTCTTCTTCTTCTTCTTCTTCTTCTTCTTCTTCTTTTTTGTAGCAATGTTTTTTTTTTTGGCTTTTTTATTCATTATTTATTTATTTATATATTTATTATATACATTTAATGACATTGTTTAGCTTATGAAGTGAACATTTCAATATGTGAACATTTCTCCCCAGTCCAGTTGATCAAAATCTCTTCAACAGATAACACCACACCTCCCCATTCCATCAGTGCTCTGCCTCTGTATCCCTCCTGCAAATGTCCTTCCCTAGGCCCCACTCCTCCACACACCACCTCTGGCATTCACACCCATCTCTTGTGTTTGTATATCTTTTAGTCCATCAGTTTCGATCATAGGGTGCAGTATATATTAAGTGGGGAATCTTGTTCTCAACCCCTTCATCTATTTGCTAGCCTAGTCAGGCAAATAATTCTAACGAGTGTGCACATGTGGGTTATATTTGATATTTGGGTGATGCTGAGAATTTCTAATGCTTTGACTTATATCTTCTTGAAATTGCAAATGAATATTAATATAAATAATATATTTATAGTTACAGTACCAAGAGTGTAAGCAGTGTGAGAAAGGGCTATTTTATTTTTGGTATACAATACTATTTTACAACTGAAAAGAGTTTATATAATCCTTAGATAATATACATGAGGCTCTTGGAACTCTTCAACATAAAAACATGATACACTGTTAAGATGTGGTGGCTATAAATTTCTAGAGTTCACACTCTCCCAGGAATGAAATATGTGTCAGGTAGATGATTAATCCTAGAAAATGGTGGGTGCTCTGCCTTCAGCAGAATGAGCTGCCTGTCAGAACAATGCCACCAAGGTTTGAAAAGAACAGGATCCATGTGTGATTTCTGACAATGGTTCTGGAGACGTAAGTTCTTTGGATCTTTTAGGGAAAAATGTCAGTAAGCCTGTGGCCATCCTATTTTCCTCCAAGAAGTTTGAATTCTCTCCAGAAGAGAACACTCCAGCAGGTGCAGAATTTTCCTGGATGAGTTGGCTATGGATTGCCAGACACTGTGAGCTCTCTCTTGCTGATTCCCCCACTTCCTGTAAACATTTTTCTTTGAGATAAATATATATGCACATGTATTTGTTAAGAAATAATGCAGGGAACCAGCAGTTAGCATAATGGCTATGTCGCTGGACTCCCACGTGATCGACCGCGGTTTGCGTCCCAGACCCGGTGGCTTAAAACTCACGCCGGGCGTGTGTGCGTGCGTGCCCAAGATCCCGAGAGGAGAATGGAGGAGAAGGGATTGTGGCATGACCATCCCCTCTGGGGGGTGATTTCTCGCTTTCTGTCTCTATGTCTCTCTCTGTCTGGCGTGCGCACACACACTTGTCACCCAGTTTTTCCCAAATATAACACCACGCATAGCCATACCACAGTTATCATAATCAGAATATCGACATCAGTAATTTAAGACTCTGAACATTTCCATCACCACTGGGTCCCTCCTGTTGCCCATTTACAGCTCCACTCACCTTCCCAGTCTGTGAAGAACACCTTGATGCCAGTAGTGAAAACAAAATATTTGGGGGGGAACTAATGTTCATCTTTGCTGAGATGTGTGATTCACTGATGAACTCAGTTCTGACAGGTGAGTGCTGTGTCTGTTGTCCTGGTGTATTCCTCTCTGCTGTGCTTACATTTCTAGGGAGGTTCTTCTGTATTTTTTCCCTGAGTATCAGCTACCACCAGAATTTGACCATGTATCTCTGGAAGAACTTGTCACAAGCTCTGAGGTAAGCCGGCTTCTGTAACTCTAAAAGAATAATAAGATAGCCTGATTTTGATCTTCAGCAAAGAAGAATGTAAAATGTCACTAGTAAAAGATCAAGGGTGGCTTAAGTGAATGAAGCCAAAGATCTTTATACCAAATGCGTGAGGGATGAGTCAGAATTATAGCTGTGTTTAAAATCATTGTGGTCATGGGTTGGTATCTTCAGCTCTGTCGCAGACCTCAAAAGAAACTGGGCATAATCCCTGACTTCCCTTTCCCCCACCAAAAATAGTCTCTGTTCCTTAGATCCACGTCCTCCTATTCTATGGTGCTATGCAGAGGATTGGATAGCTCACCACATTAGGTACCTCGAACATGAGTCCTGCTGGAATCCCTAAACTATCACCAGGAAACATGTAGAAACTGCATTCACCAAATCTCCTCCCAGGAACAGTCACTTTGATTAGGAGGACAGCTTTGGCTACTTGGTGTGCACGTGGCCCTGTTCAAGTAACAGTGGGCAGTCCTCAAGTGGCCTCGTCCTCCAGGGCTGTGGTGAGGCTGAGTGAAGTGGTACCTGAGGCCAAGCAAAGGTGCCGGCAAAGTGCAGAGATGAGCCAGCCTGGCCCAGGACCCCGGGAGGCCCCTTCTCACTTCCACGCTCAGTGTTGCTGAGGGAAGTGATGGGCACATCAGGAGAGGCTGCTGATGAAAAGAGCATAGATTATGATACCACAGACTGCCATGTGCTGCAGTGTGGCCCTAGGTGAAGTTCCTCGTTTCTAATCTGTGAGCACTGATTCTGCTTCTTTGCCTTCTGCTCTCACCTCAGCCTCTTCTGACTCACTACTTATCTGGGACCGTTCTTGTCAGGGCCACCAGTGTCCTCTATGCTGCCAAATGCGATAGTCACCTTTCATCTTACCTGACTTCCTGGGGCCTTCAACCCAGTATATTACAACTCTCTCTCTGGGTCATTTTTCTATCTTTTTAAAAATAGCTGTTAAATAATGATGTGTTTCGAGTCCTTAAGGAATTCCTGGGGGTAGGAGGGAGAGTCCACGGTGTCCTTCAGTTCTGCCTCCCCTTTCACCTTCTCGAAGCACTTGCTTCTGAGGCTTTCCCTGATGACATCTTGCCCCTTCCTTCCTCCTCCCCTTCTTTGTGGCAGCTCCTGCCCTCCTTGGTTTCAGCTGTGGGCCTCTCTGAGCGCTCCTTCCTGGCCCACTTTGCTGTCTCTGTTGAATGCCTTTTCTACATGGCTTCTTGTAGTTTTTGACTTTAAATATTGTTTCATATGTAGTGACTCCCAGTCTGTTTCTCTCCACTCTCTTCCTAGAAATCCAGATTCCAACTGCCTTCTTGACATCTTCCTTTGCATATATATTATTTTATCAGTTTATTTTCCTACATCTTGTTTATCTGTTTGTTTAAATTTGCACTTTTTTGAAACAATGCTATATTTATCTATGTAAACTGCCTCAATCCTTTTTTGAAATGAACTGAGGTATAATTTAGTTAATGAATATAATGAGACCCAGACTTAAAAGACCCATAGTACAAATGCTGGCCAGTTCGAGGCTTTGATCCTTTTTTATACTAGATACTTCATGTTATAACTCTGTTGTAAATAGCTCATTCTCTGCAAGTTAATATCCTGTTCTATTATCATTTGTAAAAACAGCTGGAACAGTGCCCAGAGCAGACAAACAAAAAACTGAAAATGTGTTTCAACCAGGTAAGCTTCCTTTCAATGCAGCCATTTATATTCTAAATGATCCTGTGTTCCAAAGGAGAAATAATGTACATTTCCAAATGTTAGGTTTGGAAGGAAATCAAATTTGCATTCACTTATCAAGACTTAGATTAATGTGTAGCATATCAGATGTCATAAAACAGCATCTTTTTGAATTTTAAAATGCAAATGTTTCCACAACATGAAGCTTATGAACCACTACAAGTAAGACTATATTTTGATCAGGAAACAGGATATTTAGACTCTAAGAGACATCTTCACTGAATCCTCAAAACATTAGACGAAAGCTGAAATTATAGATTGAAGTTTTAAATGTCAGACAATTTGATCTCTCTGGATTTTTTCTTTAGTACCTTATCAATAGTTTTTTAAGTTTATGATTTTTCCAATATAATAGTAGCTATAAAATTATTTCATGCTAATCTAAGAAGTAAAAGGAATTGAATGAAATTTAATCATACTCCCAAACCATCCCTCTTACTAGACTAAGATTACTAGTAATCTCAGGACCAGCAGTTGGCATAATGGCTATGTCACTGAACTCCCATGTAGTCTTCCACGGTTTGAGTCCTGGAGCTGGTGGCTTAAACTCACGCCAGGCATGTATGCATGCGTGCCCAAGATCCCGAGAGGAGAATGAAGGAGAGGGGATTGCGGCGTGACCATCCCCCCTGGGGGATGATTTCTCGCTTTCTGACTCTCTGTCTCTCTCTGTCTTTCTGGTGAGCACACACACCCTATAGCAAAAACCTCTCAAAATTAAAAAAAAAAATTTAATTAAGGAACCAGCAGTTAGCGTAATGGCTATGTCGCTGGACTCCCACGTAGTCGACCGCGGTTCGCATCCCGGACCCGGTGGCTTAAAACTCACGCCGGGCGCGTGTGCATGCGTGCCCAAGATCCCAGAGGAGAATGGAGGAGAAGGGATTGCGGTGTGACCATCCCCCCTGGGGGATGATTTCTCGCTTTCTGTCTCTCTGTCTCTCTCTGTCTGTCTGACGAGTGCACGCGCCCTATAGCGAAAAAAAATTTAATTAAGATTACTAATCTACTACTTAAGATTACTAATATTATTATGTTTGTGTATTTCTTTACAACCTTTCTCTGTTGGTAGTTTTTTCTTTTTTAAAGAGGTTTTGCTGAACGTGTGTGCTTTCCGGAGAGAGAGACAGATGGTGAGAAAGAAATGATAAATCACCCCCCAGGGAGTATGGCCACACTGCAGTTCCTTCACCTCTACTCTCTTGGGATACTGGGCACACTCACACATGAACCTGGCGTGATTTTCAAGCCCCCAGATCCAGGACTGGAAACATGTTCAGCATATGGAGGTCCAGCACCTTAACCACCATGCCACCTGCTGGCCCCTTTTTCCTTTTTTAACAGTCACCAAACAATGTTATGTATCTACCCCTTCATGAGTTCCTGGGAAGAAAGAGGTCTGGAATGTCCTTTAGTCCTACTATAGAAATATCTAAAACTCATCTGCCTTCAACTCCCTTATTTCACTCAAAAAAACCTGGACACCGAGATGTGAAATTGGCAAAACTGATAGGGGATTACTGTTGGAGCCAAAATGGCTACTGAGGTTCCCCAACTCATTGTAAAGGCCACAGTGGCCTAGAACTTTCCATGGCATCAGGATCAATATTGTGGTATTATGTCTTCATTGACACCTTATCTGTGTTTTCTCAATCCCGTCTACAACGCTATCTCTAGCACATTCATCAACATTGTTTTCCATGTCCTAATGCTTACAGCCATATTCTGGAAAACTGTCATAATGACATGCAAATTTATAACAAGTGGAGGTGAGCAGCACCCTCTGGAGTTGTGCAAAGCACGATATAAGCCAGGGCCCCACCCCTCTTTTTTGCAGGTGATGGAGTACATCTGAACATCCTTGTGTCATAAGTGACAAGGAATTATGAAATAAATTCCAAAAAGATATGGCTAGGCAACTGGAAATGAAAACTAGGCCCTAAAACAGATTCCTTCTTAAAAAAGACTGTTATCATGGAGTGTTCAAATTTTTAAGGAGTGCCTAAATTTAACAACCATTGTTGACCAGTTTATGTTTACCTCTGATATTTCTGAATGGCAACTGGCCTAAACAACTAGAACAGACCGAGGTTATAGTTACTAGTTTCTTATTACTGTTCAACTGAAAAGTAGATTTATTTATTTTCTGAGTAATAATTTGCTGCGAATAAATAATTGAACATATTCAGTTTGAAGACTTGTCAGTATTTCCTAACTAGAATGAAAGGTAGTTTACTTCCAGTATATTTTAGACCCTGTCCTAGCACTAATATTTTTATCGACTAATGTAAAACTGTGATTGATTGAGAACCCCCAAGAGCCAGGCACTGGACTAGGCCTTTTTGATATATTACGTCATTCAGCCCCCACACCTTTGGGAGACAGAGGCCTCTTTCCATTTTAGTAGTGAAGAAATGGAGATTTATGAATATAATATTCTAGTGTCATGAAGTTAAGTATCAGATCCAGGACTAGAACCTGAATTTGTCCCACTCCAAAATTAATTATATCACATTTTTAAAATTTTATTGGGGGGAACCAGCAGTTAGAGTAATGGCTATGTCACTGGACTCCCATGTAGTCAACTGCGGTTCGAGTCCTAGACCCGGTGGCTTAAACTCACTCCAGGCGCCTGTGCGTATGTGCCCAAGATCCCAAGAGGAGAATGGAGGAGAAGGGATTGCAGCGTGGCCATCCCCCCTGGGGGGTGATTTCTCGCTTTCTGTCTCTCTGTATCTCTGTCTTTCCGGCGAGCACATGTGCCCTAAAGCAAAAACCTCTCAAAAAAAAATTTATTGGGGCCAACAGACGGCATGGTGGTTCAGGACGCTGAACTCCCACATGGCCGACCGTGGTTCAAGTCCTGGACTTGGCGGCTTGCTTTCTCACTTTCCCTCTCTCTCTCTTTCTTTCTCTCTCCCTCTCTCTCTCACTCTTGCTCTGTCCTCCTCTGGTCAAATTAAAATAAGCAAATAAATAAGTAAAAGTTAAGTAAGTTAAATAGTTCTTTTAAAAATTTTTATTCTTATCTAGGCTTAACCTTTGTGATAGAGTTCACATGTATTTTTTATAGTAGGTGTATTACAATTTCTCAGCCTGTTTGTGTAGAAGAATTATTTTTAGCTTACTGTAGACCTTGACAAGTGGGTGGGTTTACTTAATGCCCCACAAGAAATAGATTGTTCCAAGTGGAAGTCCATGGCAGTCAGCCTGAAGAGCTTTTAGGCTCCTGAATCTTCCCATAGTCTTTATTAGTTAGGGGACTCTGGTCTAAGTACACTACCATGGGACCAGCAGATAGCATCATGATTATGTTGCTGGACTCCCACATAGTTGACTGTGGTTCAAGTCCCAGACTTGGTGGCTTAAAACTCACACCAGGCACATGTGTGTGCATGCCCAAATTCCTAAGAGAAGAATAGAGAAGAAGGGATCGAGGAGTGGCCATCCTCTGGGGGGTGATTTCTCACTTTCTATCTGTCTCTCCAGTCAGTGCATGTGCCCTATAGAAAAAAAATCTCTCTAAAATATAAAGAAATAAATACACTATAAAAGTTTAAAATATGCTAAAAACTATACCGGCATATACCTTAGTTTATTCAAGCTTATATATTCCTTTCTATATCTGTTTCTAAATGGTATTTTTTTCTAATGTCCACACCATCAATAATGGAGTCAGGGTGTTATGTCCTGGAGGATAGAATGAATAAGTGTTGTTAACATAGCTAATGAGTAGAATCTCCTTAATATTCAGGGCAGTGAGATTCAAAGAATCAAAGCAAAGTAAACAATCAAGAGTCCAGGAGTTCCTGTTGAAACTGAGATGTTGCAAGCAAAACAGAACAATTGGAATCATGACTTGCCTAACAATGGAATTGCTCCATGTTAGGGACTCTCCAAGTGACTGGTAGCTTTAAGAGAACAGTTACAAAAACTTAAAAACCATGTTTTGAAATCTATGTAGAAGACAAATCTGGTCAACCTCCTTTAAGGTGTGTACTTTCAATACATAAAGCCATGTCAAAGCACAGTGGGACTCTTTTTTCTCTGGTCACTTCACCCTGACCACAGACCTCTTTGGTCACCTTGCCCTCGCCGCGTCAGTGGTTTTCATACCTGTTATTGGCAGTAAATGATTTCTTGATGACGTTGGTGATCCTGCAGCACCTGTTCCTAGCCCACCATCTTTTACTCTTTCCTCCCTCAAGCCATCTTCTCTTTCCTAAATGAGGATTCCAGAGTTGTTCCAACCCATCAATACTGGCCTACCCTGAACCTTTCTCCACACTTTCCCAGTCCACAGTAGGCCTCCTGCTTTCCTTCCCATCCTACTCAGAGGTGGGTCAATTTATCTTTTACCTGAAACTTCCCTTAGTTTCTCCATGGGAAATTAATCTTGACCTCTCTTTGTTCTGTAAGAACCTTATAACAAAGGTTGTTAGAATTCTATTTTGCCATTCATTAAAGTTTTTGCCTTGTATTATAATAGTCCCTCGGATTTCATGTACTTCTCAACTAGATAATAGAATTCTTGAAGTTAGAAATTCCCTCTTATTAATCTCTGTGTTCTAATGGCATTTAGTCAGTACCTTCGAAAGCATCTGGACCTTAATATTTTTGCATTGAATCAAAATTGATTGTTTCTGTTGGAACATCTGCCTACATAAACATTCACTGACGTCCTTTTCCCTGTTTGTGTGGTACAAAATTTACAGGTCTTGTGGGCCTTCCTTCCTTTACACAAACTTGTTAGAATTCTGGAGCTTTAAAGCTGCCTGAACTCTGACATTTTAAATTCAAGGCAGAAGATTTCAATTTCAGTTGAAAATCTTTTCTTTCAAATCCTAATTCTGTTCTGAATTAATGGAGTTTGGAAAGAATTCCTTCTGACCCACCACCAATACCTTACAAGAGTGGGTTTAAGCAACAGAACTAAGCCTCTCATTTTCTCAGAATTCTCTTTTCACCTTAATTAAAATGTTAATACAACTAGATGTTCTTTTCCAGTGTCAAAATTGCTATCTTTGGGACCAGCAGTTAGCGTAATGGCTATGTCGCTGGACTCCCATGTAGTTGACCGCGGTTCAAGTCCTAGACCTGGTGGCTTAAAACTCACGCCGGGCACATGTGAGTGCGTGCTCAAGATCCCAAGAGGGGAATGGAGGAGAAGGGATTGCAGCATGGCCATCCCACCTGGGTGGTGATTTCTTGCTTTCTGTATCGCTGTCTCTCTCTGTCTGTCGGGTGAGCGCAAACACCTATACCAACAATGTTAAAGTTTCTTTTTTTTTTTCTTTAATTTCTAAATAATTATGGATGTAATGGAAATTGCAAAAATAGTAGAAAGAGATACTATATACTCACCACTCAGTTTTCTCCACTGCTCACATTGTACATAATTATAGGACTGTATCAAAACCAGAAAATTGAAATTGGTTAGTGTGTGCGTGAATAGCTTTGGGTCATTTTACCATACATGTTGAGTTCTGTAATCTCCACATAATGGCCTTGGCCATAAATGTCTCCCTTTTGTCTCCTTTAACATCACACCCATCCCCTCCCACAAACACCCTCAACCCTGACACCGACTAATCTGCTCTCTATCTCATCACTGTGTCATGTCCAGCATGTTACAGATATGGAATCATACAGTCTGTGTCATTTTGCAATTGACTTTATTCATTCAGCTTCACTTCATCTCCATACAAGTGTGTCAACAGCTTGTTCCTTTTTATGACTGATAAGCAGCACTGTTGTTTTTCTAAAGAATGTTGACTTTAATATTTTATGTTTCTTTTAAATTTAGGGTTTTTTAGTACTTTCATTAAAAAAGTGTTCCCTAACTATTATTATTCAGTATGGCTATAAAACTCTGAAAGCTGTAAAATTCTAGAGCTTTGAAAACTAAGAACTCTAAGTGACTGGTGACATCTCAACAATGTATGATCCTCATTTTCTTGTTCCACTTGGTCTGAGCTCTTCACCCTATTCACCTTCAGAGCGTGGGTGATGTTCTTCCCTAGGTTTGCCACAGGAAGCATCTGTGGGATCCTTGCCCGGAGTTAGAAGCCCTTGACCTCTTGTAGTCTGAATCGAAGGTGTTCAAAAGTGGATTCCCCTTCAGCATCTGCAGAGGTGGTGTGGATTTCAAGACAGGGCTTTCCCAGTGTTTGAAATTTCCTTATTATACAGGTATCTCTGGGCTCCCCACAATGTGTGCTGTGTGCCAGACCCTGGAGTTGCGGAGGCAAACAAAACCAAATCTTTTTTTTTTTCTTTTTCTTTTTTTTTTTTTTTCACGTGGTGATTACATTCTAGAGGGAGAAATAGGTGATAAACACATAAATAAAACATAGTGTACAGTCACATAATGATAGATGATAAACACATAAATAAATAAACAAACGTAGGACATGGTGTGCCATAGAGTTATTGTGCAGGGCTAGAGAGTAGACAAGGTGTTGGGGAAGGGAGGCTATTTCAGAAAATAGTATCTGAAGAGGTGGTGTTTTGACACAGACCCGAGGCAAGGAATGAGCCTTACACAGATCAGGATTGAACTAACCAAAAGAAGCAGCAGCAAAAGAAAGCAAAGGCCTGAGGCAGGAGTGAGTTTACTGCATTCCTGGAAGAATGAGGCCTAGAACTTACTAAATGGGGTAAGACCATACACAGCTAAATCAAGCTCTTCAGTCAGATTCTCTTTGCCTCACACTAGCTTCCAGGTAGTTTAAGATTCTACAAATTTGGAGCCAACAGGTTAGGTATGGTGGTAAAGGCATTGGACTCCCACATAGTTGACCATGGTTCAAGTCCCAGACCTGGTGGCTTGCTTTCTTATTTTCCCTCTCTTTCTGTCTCTCTCTCGTAAGTGTGTGTGCTCCTTAGGAAATTAAAAATAATAATAAAATTTTAAAAAATATTCTGCAAATTTACGATTTTATTTTACATGGCAGTATACAGATATCATAATTAGTCTCACTGTTATTTTAATTTTTATTTATTATTTTTTTAGAGGTTCTCGCCATAGGACATATGCACTTGCCAAAGAGAGAGAGAGACAGAGACAGTGAGAAGGAAAGTGAGAAATAACTTCCCAGAGGGGATGGCCACATTGTAGTCTCTTCTCCTCCATTCTCCTCCTGGGATGCATGTACTTGCGCCTGGCATGAGTTTCAAGCCACCAGGTCCAGGACTTGAGTCAACCATGTGAGAATCCAGTGATGTAATCAGCATTTGCTGGCCCCAGTTAGTCTCACTTTTAATGGACTACAACTGCACACACACACACACACACACACACACACACACACACACACAGCCAGTGCTACCCAACATGGGGAGTATTTGGGTCTCTACTTTCAAATACTCTTCTCAATTTGTATTATTTGAAAAGTGCAGGTGATCATAGGGTAAGTTGCTGGTATAAACTTAAGTCAGCTTTTATAAGTCAGATCTTCAGGGCTCTTGAATTAAATGGAGAATTTGCACCCTTCTCTCAACCCTAATAATATCTAAGCCTTGCTTGAGAACACAGTGCCCCTTCATAAGATATACTATCTGTGCACTTCCATTCTCTCATGCTGTAGACCAGAAAGTTCTTGAGGGCAAAGACTGTACCTTATAGATCTTTGTATTACTAGCAATTAAATTCAATACCTTAAGCTTACAAAGTAATTAGTGAATGTTTATTAACGAGAATGTTATATATGTAGAGCCTTGTTGTTTGTTTAAAGGATTTTACAGACAGAAGGGAAACTCATGAGGCTAGTGAGTAGCTAAGGAAGTAAATGATGTGGACAACGTGGGGAGGCTCTGCACGTGTTAATGTGGTGGAGGTACAGAAGGGGATCAGGTAGGCCCAGAAGGAAAATGAGGCTACCTTAACAATATTCCTGGCATCAAGTCTTATCAGAACACAGAAATCTCATTACAGAAACATCCAAATGTTTATCAGAATGGGATTTGTCCTGTACTCCTTTCTTGGAAGGTCCCCCAGCCCTCTGGAAATGTTGAGACAAGCGATTGATGTCATTCTGAAATTGAAGCATTTGATCTGTCCAGTACTTCCATTTCAGAGTGCCTCAGGCACACCATTAAATTTTGGAAAGCAACATAGACTGTTGGATTAGCAACAGCTCACATGTGTAACTATTTGCACTCTTTGCGTTAGGTTCAGAAACCCTACGGGAGTGGGAGGAGAAGGAATTCCTAATTCCTCCTATTGTAGCTGCTGTGCTTTACAGATGCTGCAGACTGCCAAGGCAGCTGAAGTGGCTGGCCACTCTGTCACTGCTTAGGAGTCACTTGCTGTGCTGTGGAGAGAGGGAGGGTCACGGGCACCTGCTCTCTTTGTGCCTTGAACAGTCTGACACCACTGTGGGAGGGTAGACTCAACTTCACTGAATTCTCTCTTCATTCTACAGCAGCTTGCTTTGGAGGTGCTTCTCTCGTCCTTTTAACTACTAGAATATAGCGTATTTTTTGTCCCTCCCTCTTCCTCTCCCATCAGAGTGTAAGTTCCTAAAGGGTATCAGTATGTCTACAATTTAAACCACCCATAGCACTTACATAGAGAGTTGACACTCGGTATTTAAGCTCAGAATTGGAATGTGAAATTGTCTTGTGGTATTAGGAGGGAATAATATTTTGTAAGTATAGTAAAACTGTTTTTTTCTTTAAACACTCCCAGATTCAGAATATTTACATGGTTCAGTATGAAAAAAACCTAAAGAAAAAAGTGCAGTCCATTATCTATGATGCAAATACGAGAGGCGTGCTTAATGAAATCTCTCTGGGAAAATGTGAAGAGAAAAGAAAAATGACTGAGGATAAACTGAACGATCTCCGTGTAAAATTAGCAGCGTTGTTGGAGAAACTTCAGCTGGTGAGTGACGACACCATACGTGAGTGTGGGATGTGCTCTGGAAAGAGCACTTGGCTGCTTCCTCTCCTAACACTCACGCGCTGACCTCGGACCACTCAGTCAACCTCTGCAAGATCAGGGAGTCATACATAAACTAACTTCGAAGTGTATATTAGAGCATTTAATTTTTTTCTCTTCAAAAAATCAGAATCTTTGCTGTGCTTTTCAACAAGATGATCACTCTTGATAAATCATCAGTAGTATGTGTCCATTAGGACTTTTTCATTTTTCTTAGAAAGCAAAATATTTCATTTTCATCTTAATATCAAAAAATATAAATGCTCCTAATTTTAGAGGAGAGATTGGACAGTCAGGAAATACTGTATGTATGGATTACTGTCAATTTTGTTTGCAATTTATATATATATATATA